GGAAAGAGAAGCAAAACCAAGAACCATAAAGAACAAAGTTTAGGGAGAATTCTTGGTGATGATTTTGAGACTGGGGCTTTGAGTCAGCTGTGGACTTGAGGCATATTGAGGTGAGAGGAATGGGGTGTTTTAAGAAGTGCTGTTATGGGTTACAAGTTGAATTTCCTTTCCTATTCTTCAAGTAATGGAAATAAAGATTCAAATGACTGTTCAATCATCTTTGGTTACGGAACCAATTGCTCAGAATATGAAGCTCTGCCAAGACCACCGTGGAGGGCCTGGGTTGGGTTACTCCTTATGGAGACCCAGAGGGTGTTAACCTTGAAGATGACACAAAATCAGTAAAAAATCACCCAAAAGTCTTTACTGAGTGCCTATTGAGTTTGTAGCAATCCATGAGGCGTGGAGGAAGAAACCAAATAGTATAATATGTGCCCACGCCACTGAAGCTCTTATATAAGCAAAACATTTCCATGTGACAGGTAAGGGGATGTCATAAGACTATGTGGGCTGTGAGCTGGTAGGAAGGAGCACTAACTGTGTTAGGGGCTTTCCTAGAACTCAGTATCTATTTTCCTTATAGTATTTTTAAAGCTTGCCCCACCAAGTGGTAATAATTTTCTTAAGCTTTATGATTCTATGATTCCAATTATATATAACAAACAAAACCACAATTCTTAGGAAAAAATGCCTGGGAAGAACGTACTGGAAGATTAACGGTTAGTTTTCTGGTTGGTTGTTCTCTAGGTGATCTAATTCCCTTTATCCTTTCCACTTTTCTGAACTTTCCAGTTTTTCTAAAATGCATATTTATTGCCTTTCAAATATTTTTTGAAAGGCCCAATTTAAGAATTGTTAGTGTAACAGTGGTTAAAAAATTCTATGACTATTCCACAATTAAATATGAGGCTAAAAACAAATCTGATTTAATATTCTAGAGCTTAGACCTGAGGAAGAAACAACAACAACAACAACAATATTTTCTCCGTGATGGAGAGCAAAATCCAGAAGTTATTCATATTCTCTCTTCCAAATATCAAGTGATCTATTCCCGAAGGCCTCATCTTTGTGTAGACATAGCTGCAATCTGCCTGATCATCTGAATTAAACCTTAGGGAAGTTAACCTTGGAAAGAGGGCTGTATTGGGAGTCTAGATAGTTATTTCTGATATCAGCTTGGCAATTGAGTTGAATGGATATATAGTCAAGCTCTCTAACCAGTTTTACCATTCATTTCTTCATCTTAAAAATGAGGGATTTACATGTATTACTGGTGGGAATGTAATTAAATATAAAATTATCATATTATCCAGCAATTCTACTCTTCAGTATAGGGGAAGAATAAAAGAATAAAAGTTAGACCCAAACAGATATTTTTACACTAATGTTCATAGCAGCGTTATTGACAATATCCAGAAGGTAGAAACAACCCAAATGTCCATCAATGGGGGAATGGATAAGCAAAATATGTACACACACAAAAGGCTCTGCACCCATTCCCACCAGGTTTCAGGTTTCTGTATCCTACATGAATATGTGTGAATAACGTGAGCATAGCGTTCTTAAGAATACTTAGATTATTTACGTACGTTGTTCTTGAAGTTTGATCCTTGCTTCCTAGCATAGTCAAATATTTTATAACTGCTTTTAAAGTCCTTTACTTTTATTGGGTTTATATTTTTCTTTAAAAAAGTCAAAAGTGTTACATTAATTTTGAAAGAAAATTTAAACAATACACAGAAGTACATAAAGGTAAAAGCTCTTCCTGTTTTACCTCCCCAGGGAGAACCACCCTTAGCAGTGGGCTGTTTTTCTTTCTGGATCTTTGTTTTTATGTTTGTTTTTATACATGCAGTTATGTAGAAATTTGCATGTGTATTTACATGAACATAGAAACATAAGATATGTCCTTTTTTTCACAAAACTGAATTACATACTATTTACTGCTTTGCTTTTTTACAAAATTTTATTTTCTTTTTTTCTAATTATCCTGGATGCTCTATCCACTGAGCCAAACTGGTCAGGTATATTTTTATATATATTTAAAAAAATTCTCATCCAAGATATGTTTATTGGTTTATTTTTAGAGGGAGAGGAAAGGGGGGGGGGAGAGAGAGAGAGAGAGAGAGAGAGAGAGAGAGAGAGAGAAATGTGAGAGAGAAACATCGATTAGTTCACTCCCTCCTGTGTGTGCCCTGATGGGGGATCAAACTCATAACCTTTTGGTGGATGATGCTCCAACCAACTGAGCCACCCGGCCAGGGCTTATGTTTATATTGTCTTTATTGATTACAATTGATATTCAATATTGTATTAGTTTCAGGTGTACCACACAGCAGTCAGACATTTATATAACTTACCGATTGGTTCCCTAAATTTAAGGGCCCACAGGGCACCATAAATAGCTATGACAGTATTATTGGCTATATTCCCTATGCTGTGCTTTATGTCCCCATGACTGTTTCATAACTACCGATCTGTACTTCCAATCCCTTTACCTTTTGTACCCAGCCCCCCACCCTCCTTCCCACCTAGAAACCATCATTTTGTTCTCTGTATCTATGGGTTTGTTTCTGTATTGTTTGTTTGTTTATTTATTTATTTAATTAATTATTTATTTATTTAGGTTCCATATATGAGTGAAATCATATGATATTTCTCTTTCTTTGACTTATTTCACTTCACATAATGTCATCTAGGTTCATCCATGTTGTCACAGATGGTATGATTTCATTCTTTTTTTATGGTCAAGTAAGCAACTTGCTTGCTTGTTCTTTCACACTTTTTCTACAAGTATTTATGATCAGTTAAGCTATGATTCTGGATCCCAGAGTGGGATGTACCCAGGTGCCCCTTCACCTCCCTGGGAGAAAGGTGGAGGAC